TTTCTTTCTTTCTTTCCTTCTTTCTTTCTTTCTTTCTTTTTCTTTCTGTCTTTCTTTCTTTTTTCTTTCTTCTTTCTTTCTCTTTCTCTTTCTTTCTTCTTTCTTTCTCTTTCTTTCTTTCTTTCTTTCTTCTTTCTGTCTTTGGTTTTCTCCATTTTTTCTTTCTCATACTGCTTGAAATCACTGGGATTCTTAAACCTGTGGATTGGTCTCTTTTATCAGTTTTGAACAATTATCATCAATTATATTTTAAAATATTGCCTCTTCCTGATTATCTTTTTTTTCTCATCTTCTGGTATTTTGAATAAATGCACTTTAGACCTTTCATTTTATTTTTGTATCATACACATTCTCTTGTGTTTCTTATCTTTTATTTATTTATTTATTTATTTATTTTAAAGACGGGGTTTCACCATGTTGGTAAGGCTGGTCTTGAACTCCCGACCTCAGGTGATCCACCCGCCTTGGCCTCCAAAGTGCTTGGATTACAGGCGTGAGCCACCACGCCCGGCCTCTTATCTTTTTTTTAATCCCCATAATGAATTTTGATATTTTTTCCTTTCAACCTTTCTTCCTGGACATTAGCTCTTTCTTTAGTTTAACCTGCTTTTAACTCTCATCTTTTAAATTTTTATTTTCAATTGTTGTATTTTTCATTTCAGTTGTTGCATTTTTCACTTCAGTTCATTTTTTTCTTTTCAAATCTGCTATATTACTTTAAGTTTTCTGTTCCCTTCATATGCTTCCTCTGATCTTTTATTTTCATTAATACAGTTAGACTTCATTTTCCAAAGTCTTTTCAGGTCTCTTATCGGATATTATTCCTCTGGGTTTTTAGTTGTAGTGTTAAGTTTTCTTGTTTAATTTTTACTGTGTGCTGTAACTGAACTTGAAAAATAATTTGTAGATGTGATTTGGAGGTTGAATTAGTGACCTTCCTCCAAAGATAGTTTGGATTTACTTCTGTCAGGCACCTGGGTTTACTGACACCCTTACTTTCTTTTTTGTTTGTTTGTTTGTTTGTTTTGAGATGGGGTCTTGCTCTGTCACCCAGGCTGGAGTACATGATGATAGCTCACTGCAGTCTCAAACTCTTGGCTCAGGTGATCCTCCTGCCTCAACCTCCCAAATAGGTGGGCCTATAGGCATGTGCCACCATGCCCAGCTAATTCATTAAAAATAATTTTTTTGCTCTCTAAATGTCACATATTGTGCTAGAAACAACAACAACAAAAAATAAAAATAAAAAAAATTGTTTTGAGACAGAGTCATATTCTGTCACCCTGGCTGTAGTGAATTGGCGTGATCTTGGCTCACTGCAGCCTCTGCCTCCCAGGTTCAAGCAATTCTCCTGTCTCAGCCTCCCAAGTAGCTGGGATTACAGGTACATGCTGCCACACCTGGCTAATTTTTTGTATTTTAGTAGAGACGGGGTTTCACTATGTTGTCCAGGCTGGTCTCAAACTCCTGAGCTCCAGCAATCCACCCGCCTCGGCCTCCCAAAGTTTTAGGATTACAGGCGTGAGCCACCACACCCAGCCAAAATTTTTTTTTTAGAGATGGGATTTTGCTATGCTGCTCAGGCTGGTTTCAAACTCCTGGCCTCAAGTTATCTTCCACCTTAGCCTCCTGAATAGCTGGGATTACAGGTGCAAGCCAGTTTGCCTGGTTTACCCCTTAAATTCTTTACTTCCCAAGAGAAACAAACCAGGTCTCAGTAATTTAATGTTGGGAAATCTATTCTGAGGAACTATACTTATATAGAAATGTACTTACATACAAGGATATTTAAAGAAATGCTACTTAGTATAGCAAAAAAATTGTTAAGAATCCGTATGTCCAAGAACAGAAAAATGGGTTAAACTACATGAAAAATTATATAGCTATTAAAATAATGTAAACTATATAATATCATGCATTTTTAAAAAATTGAGACAGGGTCTTGCTCTGTCACCCAGGCTGGAGTGCAGTGGTGCAATCTCAGTTCACTGCAACTTTTGCCCCCAAGCTCAAGGGATCCTTCCGCCTCAGCCCCCTAAGTAGCTGAAACTGCAGGTGTGTGCAAACATGCACAACTAATTTTTCTATATTTCATAGAGACAGGGTTCTGTCTTGTTGTCCAGGCTGGTCTTGAACTTCTGGACTCCAGCAATCCACCCACTTTGGCCTCCCAAAGTGCTGGGATTACAGATGTGAGCCACTGTACCTAGTCTTGGAAAATGTTTTTATAATTAAGCTAAAAAAGAGATTAAAATTTTATATATGATACAATTATAAATGTGTTAACAAAAACGTATGCAAGGGAAACCATCTAGAACAGTGCTAATATAACTTGATTACAAGAAAAGTGTTCTCTATCTTCACTGTGGTACAGTAGCCACTAATTACATGTAGCTATCTAAGACTTGTGGAATAGCTAGTGTGACTGAGGAATTACATTTTTAATTTAATTTCAACCTAAATAGCTCAATGTAGTATTGCTACCATAGTGGGCAGTGTAAGTCACGAAAATATTGAAATGTTAATGTTCTGGAAGAAGTGATTGGGAACTTTTGGTAATTTTCTTCCCTTCCTTTTAATTTTCTACGAGTTCCAAATGTTCTTTAATATGCAACACTTACATTTTAAAGTAAAAAAGCTCTTAATACAAACACAAGACATTATTATAAAGTCTAGTAAAAGTTAAAAGGCCAAGCCTGTGCTAATTCTTTTTAACAACTAGTTAAATGTGTCATGTAGCCAAGCTTCATGAAAGATTTTATAATTTTAGGTAAAACTGATTTTTTTTTAATAGCAAGTAAAAAAATTACAAGTTCATTACCTTTCCACCTGCCATCCGAGAATCACAGCAAATGATGGACATGTTACTGTTTTTTAGTTGAAAATCAAATATTATGTCATCAATTGTCGGTTTTTCTGGAATATCCACAGAAAGTTGATAAGAAATTGTTTTTAAGCGCTTTGAATCTAATGGGAAAAGAATCACATAGAAACACATATATGTTTTAAATTTTCTAAAGCCTCTTTTCTAAAATGAAATTTCAAACCCCAATATGAATTCACTGATTCATAAGACATTTTTATATCTGAATTTTTCATCATCTTTAAAAATGCTATTATTCCCATTTTACATATGAAGAGGAGGAAAGAAAGAAAAATGTCAGCCTTCGTTAAATTAGTGAGGGGCTTCTTTTGTCAAAAAACGAGAACATTCCTTTGTTAAGAAAAATGAGGCCAGGCTCAGTGGCGCACGCCTGTAATCCCAGCACTTTGGGAAGCAAAGGCGGGCAGATTACTTGAGGTCAGGCGTTTGAGACCAGCCTGGCCAACATGGTGAAAACCTATCTCTACCGAAATGCAAACACTAGCTAGGCATGGTGGTGTGTGCCTGTAATCCCAGCTGCTCGGGAGGCTGAGGCAGGAGAATCGCTTGAACCTGGGAGTCAGAGGTTGCAGTGAGCCAAGATCGTGCCACTACACTTCAGCCTGGGTGACAGAATGAGACTCTGGCCCAAAAAAAAAAAAAAAGACAATTTTCGTTAAGTGGAACTTTCTGGCTTTTAGTTCCTGTAGAACTGACACTCTAAACAGTTGGATATCAAGAAACTTTATATTAGGGATTTAGTTACAAAAATAAATAAAAATATATCTTCTCTAAGCATCTTTGTTTTTCTTTTTTTTTTTTTGGCAGTTCAACTTTTATTTTTATTTTATTTCAATAGGATTTGGGGAACAGGTGGTGTTTGGTGAATAAGTTCTTTAGTGGTGATTTCTGAGATTTAGGCACACTTATCACCTGAGCAGTGATGTGTAGTCTTTTATCCCTCACCGCCCTCCCACCCTTTACCCGCAAATCCCCAAAGTCCACGGTATCATTCTTATGCCTTTGCATCCTCATAGCTTAGCTCTCATCTAAGTATCTTTTCAGTAGCTCTGGGTGGTAGAGGAGGAGCCTGATGCCTAGGAAGATTAAATCATTTACCCTGTATCAGACAGCCTGTGAGGAGAAAAGCAAGGATATAAATCCAGGACTTCTGATTCTAAACAGAGTTTCTTCAACTGTACCAGTACTACAGTGATACTGGCCAGCCAGCTTACACAACTAATAGATGAACAAAATAAGCAGACTCATTTTGGACAGATTTTCCATATCCAAGCTTGAAAACAAAATGGAAAAGTATGCTTAATAA